GGGGGGATGGCCACACCACAATCCCTTCTCCTCCATTCTCCTCTCAGGATCCTGGGCATGCATGCACACGCACCCGGCATGAGTTTAAGCCACCGGGTCTGGGACTCGAACCGCGGTCAACTATGTGGGAGTCCAGCAACATAGCCATTATGCTAACCACTGGTCCCACTGAGTGTAATTCTTGATAGAGAAATCTCCCAAGCTTAAAACTGAAAGACTCCAGGACCAACAGATGGCATAATGGCTACATGGTTAGACTCCCACATAGTCGACTGTGATCTGAGTCCCAGACCCAGTGGCTTAAAACTAACACTGGGCCTATGTGCACGCATGCCCGAAATTCTGAGAGGAGAGTGGACGGGAAGAGACCGCGACATGGCCATCCCCCCGTGGGTCAGGGTGATTCCTTGCTTTCTGTGTCTGTGTCCCTCCAGCAACCATATGCACCTATAGCAAAAATCTCTCTCTCAAAAGAAGCAAAACAAAAACAAAACTGAAAGGCCCCATATACTGTAAACCACCTAATACTGCAAGAAAGCATCAAGAAATGCTTAATGACCTGGAGCAAAATCACAATAATGTGCCTGCTTGAGCAAGCCAGTCTGAAACAAATGGTGGTAGCTCTCAACAACAGTAAGCTGAGGCATCTAGGCAGACAAACTCATTTGCTGGCTGAATTTTTTTGTTTGTGTGTTTAAAGTCTCTCTCCAGGTTACAATCTTCCTGCCTCAAGTCCTCCGAGTCACTGGGATTACACACACACAACATCACATCCAGCCTTTAGGTTGGACAGAGAATTGAACCTGGGTATCCCATGTGGTCACAGCTATGGAGCACAGTGTCTTAGCAGCATGTCCACTGCAGCTGGACCCTGGCTAAGTAACTGATAGGGGTATTCCCCTGTCTGGAAATATCAACTCTAGTGATGTGGGTAGATCATGTTTATCAATCAGTGATCTGCATTTTGTACCAGCAATTTGTTGAAAGCCTCCGATTTTGAAAACTCTGCAAGTCTTAGCAGTGGAAATCTTCAAATACACCGAAATTCAAATATTTCAAGTGCTTTCCACTGTGCTCACAGTATATAGGGGCTCGGAAACAAGGCTGCTTCTGTGCAGAGAACACTTCTAGGCTTCCAGTCTAATGCAATCTAGAGAGGGGGTTTTCATACATTCCAGTCCTACTTGGCTGGTAAGTCCTACACTTCATTTTTCAGCTATTTGAATGTTTTTCACATATTCATTTCTAAATAAAACATGATTATGACATCTGTTAAAATTTTTTTTACAATATTTAAATAAATCTTTAAATGACCATTTTGCTAGCATTTATTACAAATTTATCTTCATTACGAAGACAAAATTTGGTAACTTTTTTTTCTTTTAGAGATTTTTG